GCTATTTTGGCGCTTGAAGCCGTCCAAGTATTTAACCTTGCGAAGCAAGATAATTTATCTCAAATGGAGCTTTGCATTAGTGGGGCTCTAAGGCCCCTAAATTGCTGCATCATAAACCTTTGTGGCAGGCTTGCCAGTAGCAGCCTGGCTTACCAGTTTGAGCCAAAAGGCTCAGTGTGATTGGTGGGGGCATTCCCTTTCCCCACCGATCAGAAAGGAAAAGAGAAAGGCTTACCCCACCCTGACATAGGGGCAAGGAGAAGAGGAGGACCTGAGGGAGAGCTAACCCCTCAGTCTTTCCTATCGGTCCGCTCCCAATCCGGGGGCAGAGCCTTCTAACAGGATAAAAAGCCAGTGTCCCCAGCACATGGGTGGCTTTGATGAGGGACGATGAAGAGGGCTGATGCAGAGCTGGTGTAGCTGACCAGTGGGGTGGAGCAGTTGCCCCAGAATCACCCAGAAGACATCTTCACCAGATGGGAAGCAGCTGTACCCCAGCCCCACTGCAGAGAAAGCCTCGATGACGGTGCACAGGGTGGTGCATGGAGGGTCCAAGACCAGATGGGACCTCAACTGCTGCACAAGGTAGCGCGGGTCTCCAACCCCCTGCATGGGGCAAGAATGGTGGAGCACACGCTGTTGCATGGAGGGTCTGGGAGAGGATGGGACCTCAGCTGCTGCATGAGACAGCATGGGTCTCCAACCCAGCACAAGGCAGGAGCAGGACCATTGGTGCACAAGATAGTGCATGGGGCATAGAGCAGGCCAACAGGCTGGGAGAGCTGCACAAGGCAGCTGGGGCCTCCTTGCAGAGGGAGGAGATGCCTCACCCCTAGTAGACAAGTCAGGCCCTATCAGGCTGCAGAGAGTTGTGAGTCCCCCGGACAAGGGATTCCCACAGGGGAGAAGGCCCCATCACACTGCAGGCAATGGAGGGGAAGCCCCTGTCTGGAGGGGGATAATTCACCCTGAGGCAAGAATAGGAGTTTAGGGCTCTGGCTTGCCAGGGGGGAATCCCCAGGTTAGGGCCCTGCCAGCTGAGTAGCCTGAGCAGAGTCAAGGGTGCCCTATAGGATGACAGGGTCCCCACCGGGTTGCCACTTCTTCATTGAGCACACCTGTGTGCTACAGTTGCATTCTGTTCTTTTCCTCCTCTATGCTGTTGGGATCCTTGGGGTAACCCTGCACCTTTATAACTGTATTAGGAGACTGTTACAAGCTGCCCAGTATTGGTATTTATTGTATGAATTGTTTTATGCAAATGTACTGTATTTGATGTAACCTCTTTTGTGAATATTTAACTACTGACCCATCACTGCCAGTCATTTTGTTACTGGCCTGTCAACTAACCCCTGTTTTATCCATGAGTGCCCCCTCCTCCTCAGGCCTGGAGGGCACTAAACAAGGGGCAGGGCTGCAGTCTAACCTGAAGGCCACAGGGAACCAGGCCTATGTGTGGGTTTAGGGTTAATTAGAGTGGGTATGGGTGAATTCATAAATATATCCATCCCTTCATTTGGAGAGGAGGTACCTTTCTCTGTACCACCCAGGTTACACCTTTATAAATCATATGAACAACATGTACTGAAGGAATCCATCTCAATGTTAAGGATAAGGAAGGGAAATGCATGAAATCATGACTTTTTTTAGCTTTATCCATATATGCATGTGAACTATACAATGGCTTGCTTCTATTCCAATAACTGGCAAATGTAATGAAAAAGATTTTCCCATTAGCAAGGTATTCTTATTAAAAGGTTGTGTCTACAGTGCATTAAGATGTTTTTCCTTATGTTCTGATACTCTTCAAATTTATACTCACTCACCAAACTATTCCATAACAAGAGATAATTATTCTATTATAGATACTGAATAATAACTTGCTACTGCTGGGCATTTTGCTGTTCCATAGGCCTAATTCTACAGAAAAAAAATATCCTGAAGAATCTGCATATGTGAGAAAAATATGTATGCAATTAGTAACTTGTGCATTTACTCAAATAACCTTATTCACAAACTCATGCAGAAATTTCTGTTTTATTTCTAAACTGAAAAAAATACATTTACTTTTCATTTCCAGTTGAGAACTTCAAAAAGTTATTCAGTGAAGTAGCAGAATGCTCTGCCTGCCTGAGCTCAAGGTCCTTCTGATCATTCAGTATTGAGTTACCTAAGGTCACAGCTAAAGAGTATTTGTAAAACCACTAAAGTTAGAGAGAGAATAACAACAATCAGGTCACTGAATCCATCCTGCTGCTAGTGCAGGGAAATTGTTTCCTACATTTAAATTTCCTAATACTTTTTTTTCATTTAATTTTTTTTTATCATTGGTAACCCAGAGAAGTGGTTTGAAAAGCATGCAATTCGATTCAATTCAAGCACGCTTTCTAGAGCCTAGCACAAGCAATATATTAGGGCAGATTGATGTACATTCAAGCAAGATATGAGTAGGTATTTGAAAATTCTACTAATCTTCTCCATCCAAATCAGTATAATTATCATTATTACAGATAACCAATGTATTGTATCAAAGGAATTAGCATGTCTAACTATTAGATGGATCACATTCTTTTATTTTAGATTTCAATAAATTTTCTTTCTGATAATTACAGACAACACAATAAGTATAGCGGCAGTAGTATTTTCAGCATTTGGATAAAGGAGTTTTGCTCAGTTTAAAAAAAATTTTTCATTATTTTCCCTAAAATACATATAAATTAGTCATGGAATTTTGATATAAAGAATCAGAACTGTTGACAGAACAAATTATTTCTTTATATGAGAATGTGACAAGTGAAAAAGGTGAAAAAGCTACTGGTTAATAATATGTAAGCTATGATTACAAAATGAATGCAAATTAGATTTTAGGATATGCAGGGAACTGGCCAGAGAATACTATTCTAGCAGATGTTAGCTTAAGATCAGAGATGAAAACTGAATTCTAAGCCTGATAGTCGCACCCTCTGTGTTACCCTTTGGTAACTCAGCCATTCTGCTTTATTGTCCTTCATCTATAAAAGAGCCAGTTACTATTTACTAAAAAGGGGGGAAAGAAACATTAATAGCTACTTAATATCCAGTTAATTATTAAAAAGCAAGCACAAAAATTTCTTTGAGCATTGGCTTAGCTGGTTTCTAACTAGAAGTAAACAATGTCTCTTTTATAGACTATTTCAAATCCAACAGATCAATAATGGTGCCATCAGTAACTTTCACTGAACTACAGACAAAAATCCATCAAACAAGATGATTACATCTACTTCAGTCTTTTGGTATAATAACAGGAATGAAACCAGTGTAATGGAACATTCAGGCTTTCTAAGTGTCTCCTGTTTTGAAACTGAATGTCCTGATTTTGCCATAGTATTTAGCCTAGTATTTAGAGGTCCCATATGTTTTGATACTGTTCTATTTCACTACCTTTTTTGTCTGTCATTGGGGCTGGTCTTGGCCTACTGCTGATCCTGATCTGATGTTCACTTTATGGCCCATAAATGTACATTTATTTCTCAATCATTATATCCCATCCACTCTGACTGGACAGTGGGAAGTTACCATGAAATGTCATTTAGTACACACTTCTGTACTAACTGGATGATGGCCATCATTAGCCATTCCAAGTGTCATAACTGGACAATAAAAGCATCACATTCCATTGTGGTGCAGATTCTGCTAATTCTGTAAAGTCAGCATGAATTCAAGATTTATTGAACAGAGGCATAGTTAGCTATGTTAGTCTGAAGTCAAGTAGAAGTCAGGGTAGATATGCACCTTATAGACCAACTAAAGTAGATAGCTATAGCAAGCTTTCATGAACTAAAAGTTCACTTCATCAGATGCTGCTTCAGCTCATGAAAACTTGTGATTGTATATACATATATACGCATACACACACACACACACACAGGTTAGTCAATAAGGTGCAGATCTATCCTGCCTTCTTCAAGACTTATTGGTCACATGTTATCTGCTCTTTCTGTTAAGGAGTATAATTTATGGGTGGAGACATAGGCAGATCCAAGACTGTGGCAATGGAGGTGCAGCGACACTTCATTCAGCTGTATGGCACATGTGTAGTGAAAAGAGTTCATTGCACATGTGCCACACTACTAAAGTGGGGTGGCTGTAGCCCCTCACTGCGATCTCAGACTCCGCTGCGTTCTCATAGCTCATCAGCATGTCAGCACATCTCAACATGTGCTGTGAACACTATGAACTCACCATCTGGCCAGCAAAGCATCCCTGCTTTCAAGCAGCTCCTGAGCCTGCTACTATTAGCTCTTCTCTCCGCTCCTCCATGTCTCCCAGTTCAGCAGCAGAGGAAGGACAGACTAGCAGCACACTGCCCCTGGGCTCTATGAAAACAGGGCCTGAACTGCACTGCTGCCATAGCTCATTCCTTCCTTTCCCCTACTGCTAAATTCAGGTGGGGGGGAGGACGCAGGGATGAAACAGGTGCAGGGAGGAGAACTAATAGTAGCAAGCTCTGAGCTGCTTAAAAGCAGGGACTCAGGGCAGACCCCATGCCAGCGAGCTCATAGAGCTCACAGTGCATGTGGGGTCCAGCAGGAGCTGTGCTGCGATGCTGGTGAGCTCTGAGAACTCACTGCACCTGCAGCACACAGCCAAAGAAGGGGTGCAACCATGCCACTGCATTGTGTCTGGATCTGCTCCAGGGTGAAGACTTCTTGTTATGAATTACTCTTTCTTTATTTCCTGAAATGAAAAGGCAAATAATCCAAGCAGAATCCAAGCTGACATCTGTCCTGCATCCCTGCACACAGTGTAGTGATTTGTCTGTAAAAAAAGTGAGCTGAACAGAAACTATTTTAAATTAGGGGTCTCCAAACCTTACTGAGTAAGGTTACCTCTCTCAATATCTAGAAAAAGTATTTCAAGAAAATCTCTTAATGAGCAATATTACGAGTATCAGTGAAGATAAAAGAAAAGAAAAATAACCATTTGCACATATATAAAAGAAGAAATAAGAATGTCCCTACCGTCACCAACAAACTGAAGGAGGGCTAAGTCAATCTGTCTCTTCCAAGGTGACCCTTTCTGAAGTGCTATTCCATAGCCTGTAGTAGCAAAGATGTATCCGCTGCCTATTGTGACAAGTTTGCAACCCTCATCTCTTCCAGCCTTGTAATTCAGAACTGCAGCATCATAGATGAAAGCATCCAACTTCCTGAAATAAAAGAAAACAGTTTACAAACCAGATCTCTGGGAGCAGCAGTTATCTGGCAGCTTTTGTCCTTGAGTCAGGACCCTGTTGAATATCATATGGTTTCTTTGATATCATTAATTACAAGCTGCTGTGCTGAATCCAAAATTAACAAAAGGCATCTATTTTTGCTGGAGGAAAATAGGACACATTAGTTTTGCATTTCTATTTTAAGGGATACCATTAAAAATGCAGAGAACAGGGCTAACCAAAGTAGTAAATTACAAAATGTGTTGGCCTGATGCATTTGTACCTTTGGAATTAAAAAATAAGCAATGAGCATCTTGATATGAAAAATAATGTTAAAGGGCAATGGAAATTCCAGTAGACAGTTTGGAGTAGATGTGGTGGGGGGACCACATCAGCTTTATTTTAAATATTTAAAGAGACTGAAATCCCAACTCAATCATTTTTTGACACTTGCTTACCTTTATCTTTCTTTTCAAACATAAAATGTACCAAAGAATTAATGTGGACATTTAGTCCTTTTTGGAAAGGATGTAAAGTATTACAGATAAGACTACAAATAAGTTCTGTTTTAAAAATCTTATAAAAATATTATTTCCTTAAGGTTTACAAATCCTACCCTCATTATTTGTCTCTGTTGCACAGTAGGAATAGAAAAACATGCTATGGAAAACTGCAAACCTTTGACCCATCTTCCTAAAAAATTAACAACAGAATCTAATGGCTTAGCCCCACTGCCTTTGAGTTATGCAGCCACAAATAAAACCAGAAGAGAATCACTACATAAAGGAAGAGAATTAGTCTCCTCAAGAGTTAGTCTGTGCAGACTGCAGTCAAGATGGAGTTAGAAAAGATAGGAGCAGAGGGGCCATTTTACAGATAATATGAGAGCGTGTCCATGTGCACAACTCAGAGAAGAGCATCTGGGAGAATGGTCAGAATCAATATCAATAAACCAATCATCTTTAACTCAGTTTGGAGGGGCATGTGTGTAATTTCCTAAGGTTTTTAGAAAGAAAAAGATAACAACAGAATGTGTTACATAAAGCTTTAAGGGCCCCATCACCTCACCAGCCAAGTGTAAAGCCTGAACTGTCAGCTAGCACAGTTAGGCCTACCAGGAGAAATTTCCACCACTTGAGATACAGGACTGCCTACATTACCTGGCAGCAGAAAGCTGTAATATCAGAAGGTTAAAGACTGCTGAAAACAGGAGCTGGATCAAAAGTGTAGTGGGAGGAGCCTAACCCACAGGGTGGGCACCTGTCCTTAAATTTACCCATAAAAAAGGCTAAAAATGTTTTTCCCTCCATAAAGTCCATAAAAAAATTAAACTGTCCATAAAAATCTAAGAAACTGTATGCTTGACTAAAGATCTATCATTGAAATGAAGCTTAATGCAATTGTTGAACCAGCTGACTAGAGCAGCTCCACCTTGTCTCCAGGCAATTTGGTGCCTCCCTGAAAAGAGGTCTCTGTTAGAGCTTCAGGGCCCATGGGAGCCTCTGTGTAGCACCTCCCCTCCCCCCACGGCGACCCATGTGCTGCCACTATTTCCCATTGGCTACTACCTGCCTGTAATGGCTGCTCTCCTTGAAAGTAGGAGGCCCCAGATAGTCTGAGGCACTGGGTAGGGCAGGGAAAGGGGTAGTATTGCCAGGACAGAGTTCCGGGGAAGGAATGGGAGAGAGGTGGTCAGTGTGGCCAGTGAGGTTAAGGTTGTGATTGGGCAGTAAAAAAAGGATGTCAGTAAACATTTTTGGCTTCAAGTAAAAAGTTTCCTGATTTGTCAGTTATAAAAAGAAAGACTTCTTGGGTTGGCAACTCTGCTACCCCACAATGGCTCTATCTTCCTCTTCATATGAGGCAGAGTTAGTCCACCTCTGTCATTTCTACTGGTCCCAGGCATTCCTAGTCAGCATTTGTCCCTGTTGCTGTCCTTTCCGTGGCAGCATGGCCAAGCTCTCTAAAAAAAGTCCTGTTCCATTGCTTTGAAATCCAAACCAAGGATGGCAGGTGGGGGGGGGCGGTTTCGGTTTTTTAAATAGTTATAAACCAGCTGAATTGAATTTCATTGAACAAAGAGAAGGCCCTTTTCTAGCCAAAGGCTTTCTACCTGTCAAATAACAAAGGCCTTCTGAAAACACTTGAAGCTGTAGTACTTCTTAAAAAGAGATTATTGGAAAAAAGATTCTTGTGATAAGTATTAGGCAACTTCAATATGTGGATGCTACCAGCTGCCTTACAATAATTCTTACCTGCCTCCCAGGTATATTTTTTGAGGGCTAGCATTAATAGAGTGCATTTACATCTTCAATTAAAAATTATTATAGCATGTCAAACTTTACTGATACAGTGCATTCAACACCATCTCCAGAAGAAAATCTTTGTAAATAGTAAATAGAGCATCAAAATAATGAGAGAAAGGGTGTCATTTCTGAGGCAAAAAGATCTGAATTGCTCTCATTCCTATGGAGACTGACATAGAAGTTTTCAGACAAGAAAAAAATGAGCAGCATTGGCAAATAGCTGCTTTGCCTACAAAGCAAAATAAAGATGTAACACTGGTAGGCATAACTGTTAGCTTTAATCAAGCTAACTTGGGTAAAAAGAGCATTAACATGGTGGCATTCACTCAAGACTAACACATAGGAAGCACATGTACACGAGACGTTTACCGCGGAGTAGGCTAATCAGCTCCACAGTAAATGTTGCGTGTCTACATGTGTACCCCTATTAGACAGGAGAAAATTAATTAACTTGTACTTGTACTAATTAACTTGTACTTGTAAATGCAAGTACTTTCCTGCTGCAGAGCTTTTTACTTCACAGCACTGTTTGCATAGATGCTGCCCCAGCTGGCTAGGACATGAGGGTGCTTCAGTTCGGGGGCTGCCTGCCAGCTAGCCCCACACTGGAGCACACTTGTACCTTATTCAGCTCCTCCACATCACATTGAGCCAGGAAGGAGTAGACCCAGGCTGAAAGGGCTTCCTGCCAGCTGGAGCTGCTCCAGCCCAGCTCAACGTGCAGCAGTCCCAGGCGCACATTCAATATGCTCCAGAGTTTATTGCTCCACATTAATTGCACAAATAGATATGCCCTGACTATATACAAGCACAGGTCAGTCACATCTTACATGGGGGTTACGTTCTGAAGTCAGCGCGGAAGGCAAAAATTGCGTATAGTCAAATCGTGATTACCGTGCCAGCGAAACGACTAGCGGTGACTGCCTCTGCCTCCAAAACCTCCCACCACCGCCACCGTGGAGCCGTGCTTAGAGCTGTGCAGCTGGTGGCAGCGGTGGTGGAGATGGCTGCGTGCTGCCCAGCCACCACCACGCTGCCGCTGCTGCCTGGCAGCCGGCCACACAGCTCCGGGCATGGCTCCATGGTGGCGGCGGGAGGTTTTGGAGGCAGAGGCAGTCACCGCTGGCAGCGTGGTGGTGGCTGGGCCTCCAGGTAAGGAGCAGTGCCATGTGCAGACTCAAGCCCCGCCCCCCCCTCCAACCCCGCGTATACTTGAATTTGTGCAAGTTAAATGCGCGTATGATGCGACTGACCTGTACTCCAGGGACCTTGGCACCTACTTTGGTTGCAGTTGTACACTGCCACATCTTCAGTTATCCATTACCTCTGACAGTTATATTAAAACTAGGGTGTGTTTGTCTGCCTGTGCTACGTTCACACTTTCATGTTGCTGTGTAACACTTGTGAATTAGACTCAGATCCTAGTTCTTAGTTGACTGAACACCAGAAGTATCTAATGAAAAATGAAATATTTCATTGGGAAAGCAAGTGGGAAAAGATATCACCATCATACCCAGGGAAAAATTATAGTAACACCATTAAGGCAAGCATTTCAATCTCAAATAATTATAGTTAGTACAAGACCTGTAAACAACTGTGTTCAAACCTGAGCACTGCCACAGCTCTCAAAATGCAACCCTCAGAGTCTTTCTATCCAACACAGCGGATGTGTCTACAGGTGCCCCCAACTGAGCATTTTGTACTGTGCAACCATTTAGTACTTGCTTTACTTCTTTCAACCCTCAGCAATTTTGTTTAGAAAAAAATGGTCTTTGGCCTGAAGATTACCGGGTTTTCTCCAAAGGCTGAAAATAATTTTGAAGACGTGCTGAGTCACAAGTAGAGTTGTAAAAAAGTAGTTTCAAGTTTCATTTTTTTTCAAAATTGTCTCAGTTCTTACCAGACCAAAACCAAAAATGAGTTAATTCACATGAACTAGAAATTCCCAGAAAATTGTGTTACACAAACATAGTTTGTGGGAAACAAAAGGAAAGGGAGTTATGGAAAAATTCCAAATAGATACAATATCAGTGACTTCAATTAAGTTATACCAGTTGTCGCCAGTAGTGATTTTGGATTGTGATATGAATTTTTGGATGAAAATCACCAGTAGCAGAAGTCACTGTAATTTCACTCGTATCAATGGAGTTCAACTCAATAATGGGCATAAGACTGCAACCATATGAAACAATTACTTAACAGCAAGAGAGGATTCAATGTACTTGCTTAAATAATTAGCACCTGATTTCTGGATGTGAAAAACCTAGAGCTGCGGGAACTAATAAAGTATCACTTGCTCTTCCAGGAACAAAAAAGCAAATCAGCATGTAACCCTGAAGTTATTACTGCAGATGTGATTAGGATCTCAGCAAAGATGCATGCCAAAAGTATACATTGGGAAAAAGCCACATTAAGCCCATATAAAGTCAAACATGACAGAAATACCGGAACAGAATGAGGTTATTGTCCTTTCCCTTCTGCTACTATAAAAAGCAAAGCTGCTCCTCATGTTTCCTGTATTGCTTTAGAAGCACTTCAAGGACAATTATCAGCTCAACTGTCACCATCCGATTAATCATTTAGAAAACTTAGTGAAGGAGGAGAAACCCAATTTCAAACTTTGAAACACAAAGGAGGAGCAGGCAATCATTAAAAGAGATAAAGTCTAGAGTTTACAAGGGCTTTCTT